TGTTCTACAACGCTCTGATTTTTGGAAACTCAAACTCCAGCGAGATCCAATCGTCAAACAGTGCACAGCAGTAATAAAAAATCTCTAGCCTTTGCACTATCTTGGGAGGGTATTCTGACTCTACGGTCTGAGGGTTACGTGCGCCTCTCTGTCTACTGATATTGGAAGGGATCCCGGGTCTATAATCCTATGCACACATATTTTGAAGTCAGAATTACTTCTGAGTAAACATGCACAGAACTGGGCTGCAAATGTCCAAAGCTTTCCGAAAGCAAAGGCCATAAATCGCCGGGTAAAAACAGTGTTTGTCTATGAGACGGAAAGTATAGGTAAATATTCATGGTGTTTGGTTAGTGGATTCATACATATTCATAATTTAAGCCTGTTGCAGAGCTCAGCTGGTTGGAAGCATGAAACAAGAGGATATAAGTTCCCTGCTAGGTTCTGTGGGTGATCTCTGATGATCTACATAAAGACCTAACTTCTTCAGGGTCCGATCACCTACAAATTTATGGGTGGGGAAGATGTTTGATTCCGTTCGCATTTAATGGTGAACCCTACCACATTCACAATACAATTCAAAACAGCCAATCTTCAAAATTTGCTCTTCTCCAAATTTTTCAGTGCAGTTCTCTGGCCAAGTAGTGTGTTCAAAGATACATACGCCAGGGTAAAATGTGCAGTTGGAAATGCATTTATTAGTGAAAATAACATACAAAAATGTGCTATATTTGGGGAAATTGCTTGCAAAAATGTATCTATTGGGGGAAATTGCTTGCAGAAATGTTCATATTAGTCAAAACTACATACAAAAATATGGTTATTAGGATAAATTTGTACAAAAATTCTGATGAATTTTCATGAGGATTTTTTAATTCTTTTTGCAGATTGTTGGGGAAACTTACTGAATTTAAGATGGGGAAAATGAGAAACTTGGAGAACCGAAACATGACCTTCCTTAAGACAGTGATATGTTGCTCCTCTACAATAAAAATTAATGCACAGTGGGTCATGAGATCCTATGCATGTCTACTCAGAAGTAAGCCCTACTGATTTCAATGGAGTGTGCTCCCTGGGAAATGTATATTGGATTTCAAGCCTCCCTACATCATTTACAAAGCTTAACTTCAGAAGTTGGCTATATTTCCCCCATGTCTCTGTTTTATATGGAAAAGCAGCCTTCAATGGTCTTAATTTGGTTTTACAATCTCTGAAGTGAAAGCCTTAACATATTTTGCTATAGATTCAGCTTTACTTCTTAAACTACATTATCCTTTCAACAGAGGCAATAGCGGTGAATTATTTTTAAAAAGCTGATCTCAATTTGTAAAAATTATTCACACACACACACACACACACACACACATATATACACACACACACACACACATATATATACAGTATATGTATATGTATATGTATACACACACACACACACACACACGGCAATGCAAGTAAAGAGACCTGAATATTTTGAAGGCAGAATTTTCTTTCCCCAGGGACCCCTTTAAACGCTGTCCGATATTAAAATATACAAAATGTAAAAATGTCAAATTATTATTAAAAGAGTGTTGCTGTTCTGGCTCTGCCCAGCAGGGGTCACCAAAGCCACAGGTTTGGAAAAGCTAATGGCTGTTGAATGGCATTTCCTCGCCATGGCACTGCCATCAAACCCTTTTGCCCTCGGACATCAAATTCACTCCCCATGGAGTAGAGGCCAGTCCCGGTTTGTACCTTGAAAGCCTGGCAATCAGCTCCTTTCTGCTCGGACCTGCTGCGTATTCATTTCCATCCCAGCGTCGGTGTTCTCTGGGCTAGTTCTGTCTGTAGAACACGAAACCCTTAATCTCAGGGTCCTGTGTTCGAGTCCCATGTTGGGCAAAGGATTCCTTCATTGGCAGGGGGTTGGGCTAGATGACCCTCGTGCTCCCTTCCAGCTGCGATTCTACGATTCTTCCGACAGTCCTCTTAACTGCATCCCAATTTGACTGGCCACTTTCCTTTTCTTAATTTTGCTTCTGAAGTCTTGCCTCTCCAGAGTAAAAAGGAGGAAAAATGGAGGCCTTAGTCCCAAAGCCAGGAATTCTTCCTTTCCCAGCAAGTAGCTGTTGGAAACTACTGAATTTGCTACCAGAAAGGGTTACTATATATATATATATAATATATATATATATATAATATTATATATATGTGTGTGTGTGTTTTAACATAACATTTTCAACAATTATTAAACATACTTTTATATCTTATACAATTTTTTTTGACTTCCACCAATCACATCTGAAAATTTTCCAATCTTTTCATTTAATTTACATTTCTTATTTTCACTATTAAATTTAAGCATCATAACTAATATCTCTCTTCTTTGCAATATTTCATATATTTCTCCTTACAAAACTTCTTGTAGTCCTACTAGCGTAATTTGTTGATTACAGTTGCTCTTCAAATAGTTTGTATACTTCTTCCAGTCTTCTGTAAATCTCTGGTCCCGCAGGTTTCGAATCCTTCCTCTCATTTTAACCAATTCTGCGTAGTACATTAATTTCGTTGGCCATTCTTCTTTCGTCAGTATTTCTTCTTGCTTCCATTTCTGGGCCAACAATTCTCTTGCCGCTGTTGTTGCGTATAAAAACAATTTAATATCCTGTGTATTAGTATCCTCACTTATAATACCAAGTAAAAATGCTTCTGGTTTTTTTTAAGAATGTATGTTTCAACATCTTTTTCATCTCATTATATATCATTTCCCAGAAGTTTTTTTTACTTTCTTACATTCCACAAAGGGTTACTTTAAAAGGGGGATTAGACAAAATGGTGTGGAGACTAAAGCTGTAAGCTGCAACTAATTGTGACGGCTATAGATTAACTTCAGAGATGGCATAGAATTGTAGGGCTGGAAAGGGCCCTTAAGAGTCATTTAGTCCAACCCCTGGCAATGCAGGAATGGCTTCGAACGCTAACTCCTGGGGAACAACAGTGTGTGGTGGTGGTGGGGCGAGAGTTATGGCCTTCCAGAGGGCCACATTTAGCCCGAGGTTCCCCCATCTCCGCAATAAAGCAACTAAGCTTCCATCTCCATTCTGTGATCTCACCACTAGCCCATACTGCCCTCCCAAACCTCGGGGATAATGACTCAGGCTGTGTACGCGCTATAAAGCACATTCGAAGCACATTTCCCCCCCTCAAAGAATTCTGCGATTTGTAGTTTCAGGATTACTGGGAATTGCAGCTCTGTGAGGGGCAAATGACAAAACCCAGAATTCTTTGAGGGGCAAAATGCGCTTTGAATGTGCTTTAAAGGGAGACTTAGTTGACTCTTCTTTCAAAATCTTCCTCTTGGCCCACTGGACTCAGGCCAGGCCCTGAGGTCCATCTCTCACCCCACATGCAAACCGGAAACGATCTTTTCTTTTTGAGCTTCCCTCTCTGCAATCTCTTTCTCCCTTGGGACTTTTTTATTTCATTTTTTAACAGTGCTTTCCCAGGTTCTCTTTGGATTTTAAGGTACTTTTCTCTGAGTCTCTCAGAGCAGCAGGTTGGAAACGGGACAGGACGTCGATTTTTAAGGCGAAAGGACCGAGCTGATAGCAACACTTCCACAGCATAGTGCAATGTGCAAAACGGACGCAGGCCCTCGCCGTGTCTCGATTTTTTTATTTTTTTATTTTTACAAACAGGGAAGAAATGCAAAAGGCAGTGGCACAAAACCAACTGAGGTATTCTGCAGCGGAGACTCCTCCGTTTCTGAATGAGAATGAGGAGCGATGGAGCCGGGCTAGAAATAGGCGATTGCAGGTCCAGGATGAGGAAAGAGAGAGGAGCTATCCTTTTATAGCCGGTGCCCCACAAAAGCGCCGTGAATCTGCAGCCCAAAATGGGATCTGGCCACATGTAACGTGGCTTGGGTTCGTTCTGGGCGTAATACAATGCCAACCCCCGTCTGCCCGACGCAGCTGCTCCGAAATAGCTCACGAGCTGCCACGGCTTGGCATGCGGTGGGGCGTCTTGAATTGGGAAATATGGGGGGTGGCGTGTCTGAACACACCCACCCACCCACCCCAGGAGGGCTAAGATGAGAAGCCAGCCCTCTGGTATCTGGTTACAGGCCGAAGCCGCAAAAAGGAATCCTGGATATATGGTGGGCAAGGGCTGAGAGCTATCGTCACAGCCCTGAACTTATTCCTCCTGGTTTATTTATTTTTATTTATTTTTCAGGAAGGGCTCTCCCGCCCCATTTTACCCTCACAGCAACCCTGTGAGGTAGTTTCGGCTCAGTGATTCATGGCCGACGGGGGATTTGGGATCCCCCCAAAGTTTTTGAGTTTCTGCTGAAATGAGGCTGCATTTTCATGTTGTGTTTCGATCTTGTTTGTAGTTGTATTTCAGTCAATTTGTTTTATATTTGGTGTTAGCTGCCCTGGGCCCGGTCTTGGCTGGGGAGGGCGGGGTATAAATAAATTATTGTTGTTGTTGTTATTATTATTATTATTATTATTATTATTATTATTAGCAACCCTGAGGCCATGTTTGCACCATGCACACACAAAAAGCACTATTACGTCACTTTTAGCAGCCAGGGTTTCCCTCAAAGAAATCCCGGGAACTGTAGTTGCCCAGAGGCACCGCCCCCCCCCGAGCTACAATTCCCAGAGCGGTTTAACAACCAATGTCTCTTGCCAGGGAACTCTGGGGAACTGTAGTTCTGCGAGGGGAATAGCGGACTCCCGACTGGGCTCCCCAGCCTTGGCCAAACTACAACTCCCAAGATTAATTTGCGGGAAAGCCATGGTATAACAGTGCTATAAACGTACACTGTGGATGTGGCGTTGTGGGCCAAGGGTGGAGGAGGTTGAAATTTTACCTCAGCTAGGAATTTGGGAGGTGATCTTGGGCGAGCCACTTTTCTCTCGGTAATACGGAGATAGTGGCAGTGGCCTGCCTGACAGGGTTAGCTGAAGAATGTGCGTGTGAAGGACTCATACACTGTATAAATGCATGGAACTGGGATAGCTCAGTCAGTAGAGCATGAGATTCTTAATCTCAGGGTTGCGAGTTCGAGATTCCTGCATTGCAGGGGGTTGGACTAGATGACCCGTGGGGTCCCTTCCAAGTTTACAATTCTATGGTTCTGTGCTAAACAGCGTTGTTAATAATTATCAGCAGCAGTGCGGTGTGCTCTGCAGACTTTAATGTACTAGCCCTCACAAGAAGAGCCTTGTCAAGCCAGCTTCCTGTTAACCATATTTTGTGGTGAGGGAACGGAGATAGCGTTATTGTTGTTTTTAAACTCCCCATCTCTCCATCCCCTACTTTGTGTAACACGTTGCCTGATTATGAGGTCTGAGTGAATGGGGAAAAAGCTTTGCTGCTATTTTGTGACAATTTGGGTGGTCCTGATAAAGTTATTGCTCTTAGGACAGCAGGGCAGCTCAGTCATTAACAGAATAAGTGGCCATGTTGATGCCCACTGTAACATCTCACGGGAGCAAATTCCTCGTGGCATTTTCATTCTCGGGGCACTTTCTTTATAACTTATTTAGAATTTGGGGTCGGTGCAGGATTTCAAGCCTATTTCATCATTGCAAAGTGGCAGAGTGGGTGCAATTTTCTATCCTGCAAGCATTTTCTGCAGCCCGCACTTCCTGACCTCCATGAAGCCTTCCCCTGGGTTTTGACTGACGCATGGGCACCCAGGAAGGCGGCAGACCATGGGACCAGCAATTTATAGAATGAAAGACACTCATGAACCCCTCTGTGCCACCTCAGAAGGAAACGTCCTTGCATCGAGAACCCTGCACTGCACACCTGAGAGTTTCACTGGGAGCCTTCTCTCCCCTCTGATAATTTTAAAGTGCCGTTTCTTTCCTCGTTAACTGATGCAGAATGGTTGGGGGAAATGAAGGGGTGTTTGCGTTGAATTTTCAGCACAGTTCTAGCGTCAGGCCGCTGCCGCAGGCCAGGAAGCGGCAGGACCGGGAAAGAGGGGAGGATGCAATTCACCAGAAACGGATCCCTAGCATAGGAATCGGCAGCTGGCAGCCTCTGAACCAAATGAGGTCCTCAGAGCACACGACGTGCCAACCAAATGGGCAGAGGAAGGGCACGGAATGGCCGCTGTGTCCACAGGTGGGAGGTGGGTCAGGATGGAATGGCCCCTGTGTCCACAGGTGGGAGGTGGGTCAGGATGGAATGGCCCCTGTGTCCACAGGTGGGAGGTGGGTCAGGATCTCAGCACTGCAGAAAAAAAATCCAGGGCATGATGATACTGGGATGGGGAACCTGCAACATCCGAAAAAGTGTGCATGCACACAATAGCTCACACCAATAACAAACAGAGTTGGTCTCTAAGGTGCTACTGGAAGGAATTTTTTTATACTGTGGTCCTCTAGTTGTTGGTGAGCTCCAGTCCCCATCAGTGCCAGCCAGCATATCTGACAGTGAAGAACGATGGGACCTGCAGGGCAACAGATTCCTGGCCACTTTTCTAAACCATGTTCATAGTATGATGGGTGACATGCAACAGGAGTTCAGTGGGGGCTCGTTCCCGCTTTCTGTCTACTGAAGGATGGGGTAGAAATAGATTCAAATAAATATATCAAATAGACAAAACGCATCTGGGATAGCTCCGTCAGTGGAGCACGAGACTCTTAATCTCAGGGTCGTGGGTTCAGGCCCCACGTTGGGCAAAACGATTCCTGCATTGCAGGGGGTTGGACTGGATGACCCTCGGGGTCCCAACCCTACGATTCTAGGATGCTATGACTCCTCTCCTGTCACGGACCAATCTTTGTTTTTGCAATTATTATCATTTCACTCTTGATTCAGGAAACTTAAGGCCTTGGTGTCAGTCTCCTGATCAGGCCCTACGTAGGCCGAGACCTGCTTAGCTTTGGCTATGTAAATTTCTGTGGCAATGACTCAAAGTAACTTACAGGAACAAACATTAAACCCAGATATAGAAACAGGAACAAAATAAGAACCTAAAAGGCTCCTCCTTGATAATGTATAAATGACTGGAGTTGGATTTTTTAGGGGCTTCCAGCAATAAAGAAAAGGACTCATTCCCCTCAGAACCTGAGGAGCCACAAATAGTCCTCACCTGCCAGAGGAATAAAGATGAGGACACTTCCCCAAACTATAGATTTCGGGTCCCAGGGGTCATCTAGTCCAACCCCCTGCAATGCAGGCATCATTTTGCCCACATGGGATTCGAACCCATGACCCTGAGTTTAAGAGTCTTGTGCTCTCCTGACTGAGCTATCTTTGAAAGTATAACTTCCAGACAAGGGTCTTGGGAACCGAAGCAAGGAGTAAGGAGCCACGAATGCGGCCGCCGAATCTTCTGTAATACCCTTTTATAAAATAAAAAAATTGAATAGGATGTAAAAGTATGTTTAATTACTGTTGAAAACGATATGTTAAAAAACTAGTAAAAATTTATATAAAAAATAAAATAAGAAATGAAATGAAAAGAAAATTTTTATATAAAAAATAAAATAAGAAAAATAAAAATGAAATAAGAAATGACAGTGTGAGGCTGTGGGTGGTGTGTTTAGTCTTTACTTTAGTCCTGTGCATGTGTGAATAAATGTTTTTGCCGCTCTTCTCTTTTCCAGGGAGAGGCAGTTGCCTCAGCCGCAAGGGGAAGGAGGAAAGAGAAGCGGAGGAGCAAGGCAGAATAAAAGAAAATAAAAGTTCTCCGGCTTTTGCCACAGTAGCTGTCCAGCTGCCTCGCTCCCCAGCGAAGGAGTTATATATACAGCAGTGCACACCCCCTCCTTCACTTCCTGGGTGGAGCTGTCGCTGGGGAGAGGCAAAAAGACGGCTTTAAAAACCTCCAAGCCCTGCAGCCAGCAAGTCCCAACAGGAGTGGTGAAATTACAGCCTTTCCTGGCAAGGAAGACAGAAAGGCCAGCTGGCTCCAGGGAGAGCGGCGGCAGCAGCAGCGATCTTGACGGAGGAGCGCAATCGCCTCGGGATGCCCCAGTCGTGACACCGGATTTGGCCCGTGTCTTTTGCAGCCAGCCACATCCCGGGCAGATCCAAGCACTTCTTGGCAACTTCTTGAGTGGCTCGCCCTGCCAAAAACCGGTTGCAGACAGAGCCTCGACCTCCCCGGCAATGGGCATTCGGGCTGCCACGGCCGGGCGCCAAGGCTGAACGTGGGCACCCTCCGACTCGCCAGGCACATGGGCTGCTTCGAGGCTCTGCCAAGCGCAAGGTGAGTCTCCTCCGCTTTTGAAAACCGGCAGACTTTGGAGACGGTTCGCAGATCTGAAACCGGTTCGAATCTGAAACCGTCTCTTTATACTTGAGGGACTCGACGGTGAGTGGGGCTTCTGTAGGAAACAGCCTACTTTGTCAGATGCAGGGAAAGTACTGAGAAAACTGCAAGAAACTAGTGCGGCTCTTCTTCTTCCGCCCTTCGTCTTGCTTTCCCCACCGCTCCTTTTTGGCACCGAGAGCAGAAGCGACAAGGGGGTGGAGAAATCATGAAGATGTTGGTTTTGAGAGCCTGCGGCTGGCAGAGTCTTTCTGGGTGTTCGCGGGCCGCTGGCTGGCTCTTCCTCCTGCTCCTGGCGCTGGAGCACCTCTGCGTGGCTCTCGCCTTCTCCACTTGCAAAACTCTGGACATGGATATGATGAAGCGCAAGCGGATCGAGGCCATCCGGGGCCAGATCCTCAGCAAGCTCAAGCTGACCAGCCCGCCCGAGGTGGAAGACCCCGACTCGCGGGTGCTGCCCGAAGACATTGTGGCTCTGTACAACAGCACCCTGGAAGTCATCCGGGAAATGACGGCGGAAGACCCCAAGGAGACCCCCCAGGAAGAGTACTACGCCAAGGAGGTGCACAGGTTCAACATGCTTCCCCCGAACCACGGTGAGACCATGGGAGAGAAAGGGGGTTTTTGTATCTAGGAGGGCAGGCCATGAGGTCTACTGGTTAGAGCAGGCCGAGGAACCCCCCCCCCCCCCGACCCTGCTCCTATTCCTTTAGGAACAGGGTGACATACAGAAATTCAGTGGGGGGAAATCTCCCCCCACTCAAAGGGAAAGTCCTCAGCCCTTTGATTTCTCAGCTGTTAGGCAGAGGCGCAGGGCCAATTTAGGAAGCTGGCAACCGACTCAAAGGTTAGGCCGGGGTAAGGTGCGACCCGCTGGCAAACTCGGGGCACCTGCCAGGTATTTCATTGCCTGAGACTTCAAAAATAGTGGGGGGGGGGTCGCTGAGCACCTTGCAAGCTGCTATAAAGGGCTGAGAGGCACTGATGGATGGCCTTGGGGCAGTGGCTTGCCCCAGGCCACCCACTGCTGTTTCCCAGGCCTCCTAATATTGATTTATAGTAAAAAGGTTAATTTAAAGAACGAGAGAGAGAGAAGGAAATGTTTGTTACTTTGCACTTAGGTTTAGCGATGCATTGGAGCAGGATTCGCACCCAGAGTTTAAGCAAGACCCGTTTTTTTTTTAAAGCGTTCCATGTGTAAAATGGCAATAAATATCTCCAGAGAATATGAGATGAAGAAGGGGTTTGGGAAGAGGGGTGAGAGGTTCGCGCATTCCTAAGATGTTGATAGAAACTGGAAAAGGATAAGCAGCGCCTCTAATGGGATAATTTTACCCTTGACCCTAAAACCTGGAAGCTTATTTAATTCTGCAGGACTTCCCACCAATGCCTTATGGCAAAGGGATTTCCCCTAAGGTGGCCACCTTTTTATTCCAGCCCTGCTCCTGTGCAGCATCCCGGCAGGTGGAAATTCAAAAGGTGAAGCTTTTCCTGAAAAACAGTGGGAAGTGTTTTGCCTCTTAAAAGTTCTGCAGGCCAGGCTCTTAAAGGCACAGAGCTGGGCGCAAACCTAATGTGACAAAGGGTGCAAGGAAATTGCACAAAGGAAATAAAACCAAGAGCAGAGAAGCTGTTACTAGTTCTGGACATGGCAGGAGATACTCACCCAGCTGCCTGGTCCCAGGGAGGCAGCGGCAGCAGCCGCTGGAAGTTGGCATGCGTTGATCTGATCATTGCAACCACCACATGCCAAGGTATCCATGGTGAGGACCGGCCCTTGATACGGGGTTGGCATTTAAAAAAAAAAATATTATTATTTCAGGAAACTGGGGCGGGCAGAACTCGGTCAGTCAGTCTGGGGCAGTGGGACCAGGCAGGATCCAGAATTTGCTGCCTTTTGAGCTGACAGTACTGGCTGCTAGCCAGAGCACAGTTTCATCAGGGACAGAAGAGGGGCACCTAGTTCAGTGGGGAAAAGGCAGAGAACCCCCCCCCTCCACTGGACCCCAGGAAACCAGACTGGGAACTGACCTCTAACTGAGACCCGGAACTGCAGCTCCTACAGTCTGCAGCCAGACAGCACTGGGGTTGGACAGACCCACTCTATAAACTTATTCTTAAGCAGCCTAGGTTTACATCCATGCTTTTAATTCCAGAAGTTTGGGGTGGAGGGTAGGGAGGGGACGGGAAAGCTGCCGGCATTTGGCCACACGAGAAGTGGACTCTGTACATACTCGAAAGTTATAAATAAGACATTCTCCCAGATGGGAACTTTGGTGTTAAAAAAAGAGAGGACTCAATTAGGGTTTTTTAGGAGCAGGTTTAAGGCAGGTGAGTAGTGTCGTGATTAGAACCGGTATGGTCTTAATGCGGATTAAGGTTGTATCGTTTCTGCCTCTTAGCTGCTGTTGTTGGTTCCACAGAGAGAGAGAGAGAGAGAGAGAGAGAGAGAGACAGAGAGAGAGCCATTGCCTCTAGTTTCCACTTCCTTTCTCTTTGCACGAGGATCCGGGCTGTCATGTTATAGCTGTGTCGGCAGGCGCTCTGTGAAGCCAGGCACCCGTGAGAAGTCCTCTGAGGATGGGAGGAAATTGTATGTGTGTGTGCAAAAATCAGCTTTCCCCCTGGGGCGGGTGGGGATGGAGTTGGCGGGGAGGGGGCAGTGAAAAAGGAGTTTGGTCGATCGGATCTTGCGATTTCCGGCAAAAACGGCCCAGCAACCCCCCCCCCCCCCCGGTTTCAGAGTTGCCTTCGCCACTTCTCCCTGAAGGCCCCTTGCTGGTCAACGTGTTGCAATGCTACCGCACAGCTGCGGACAGGTCAAAGTTTGCAAATTCCGTTTCGAAAATTCAAGCAGGGGTCCTTTGCTTTCACCTCGGGATTGGCTGCTACTCCCCCCCCCCCCGCCCCCGCTCCTGGGACTTCCACAGCAAGCTTGACTCCAGACACACACAAACATACAGCAGGAAGCAGTTTTCTCGCATCACTGCCTCTACGCCAGAAAAGGTTTCGCCTGGTCAACTCATGGAATCGTAGAATCTTAAGAGTTCGAAGGGACCCGAGGGTCATCTAGTCTGACCCCCTGCAATGCGGGAATCTCAGCTAAAGCATGATAGATGGCCACCCAACCTCTGTTTAAAAATATCTCCAAGGAAGGTGAGTCCACCGCCTCTCGTGGGAGTCTGTTCCCCTGCCGAACAGCTCTTACTGTCAGAAAGTATTTTTCTGAATGTTTAGTTGGAATCTCCTTTCTTGTAGCTTGAAGCCACTGGTTCGAGTCCTACCCTCCAGAGCAGGAGAAAACAAGCATGCTCCATCTTCTATGTGGCAGCCCTTAAGATATTTGACGATGGCTATCATATCTCCTCTCAGTCTCCTCTTTTCCAGGCTAAACATACCCAGCTCCTTCAACCATTCCTCATAAGGCCTGGTTTCCAGACCTTTGATCATCTTGGTTGCCCTCCTCTGCCCACTTTCCAGCTTGTCAACATCCCTCTTAAAGTGTGGTGCCCAGAATTGGATACAGTACTCCCAAGTGTAATAGTAATAGTAATTTATTATTTGTACCCTGCCCATCTGGCTGGGTTTCCCCAGCCACTCTGGGCAACTTCCAACAAAGATTAAAAATACATTAAAATGTCACACATTAAAAACTTCCCTGAACAGGGCTGCCTTCAGATGTCTTCTAAATGTCAGGTAGTTGTTTATTTCCTTAACATCTGGTGGGAGGGCGTTCCACAGGGCGGGCGCCACTACCAAGAAGGCCCTCTGCCTGGTTCCCTGTAGCTTAGCTTCTCGCAGGGAGGGAACCACCAGAAGGCCTTCAGCACTGGATCTCAGTGTCCAGGCTGAACGATGGGGGTGGAGACGCTTCTTCAGGTATACTGTACTGAGGCCGTTTAGGGCTTTAAAGGTCAGCACCAACACCTTGAATTGTGCTCGGAAACGTACTGGGAGCCAATGTAGGTCTTTCAGGACCAGTGTTATATGGTCTCGGCGGCCGCCCCCAGTCACCAGTCTAGCTGCCGCATTCTGGATTAGTTGTAGTTTCCGGGTCACCTTCAAAGGTAGCCCCACGTAGAGCGCATTGCAGTAGTCCAGGCGGGAGATAACAAGAGCATGCACCACTCTGGCGAGACAGTCCGCGGGCAGGTAGGGTCTCATCCTGTGGTCTGACCAAGGCAGAACAGAGTGATATTATTACTCTTCCTTCTCCAGGGAAGGAGAAACCACCTTTTGAGGGAGTCCTTTTCGCTGTCAAACAGCTCTTAGCATCCAACAGCTGTTGTTAAGGGCGCAGAGGCAGGACCAGCAGGAAAAAGTTGGCCACCTGGGCATTTGCACCCAGGAAGCCCTAACTCTTAGCTATACTGGGCTTTCTGCAATCCTTGCTGGGAAGAGCAGAACTCTTGTTTCTTTCCTTCCCACCTTTTACAGAAGTTTGCTCCTCGTGTGGAAAAAACGAGCCACCTGAATGCACCAACAGATGCCTGGAGCTGGGTGGGGTCTTTTTTTTGGGGGGGGGGGGAGACAGGAGACAAAAGATATATGCTTTAAAAGAAAAGAAAAAAATGTAGGGAGATGCGCAGGCCCAGGAGGGGTGGTGGTGTTGGCAGCAGGTCTGAAGAGGCCCGAATCTGCAAAGATCGGATCTTTCCCTTGGATCAGAGGATCCCGCATCCACCCAGGGAGCAGCCGTCTCAAGCTTGTTTGGGGTGTAATTACGTGCCTGGGAGTGGCTGGCACGCTGCCGAAACGGAACTCGGGCCCGCAGGCAGAGGCGGGAACTTGTACGTTTTGTGTAGTCTCTGGGAGATAAGATGGCAGCCCGGGATAGTGCCAGAACGTGCCAGTCGTTCTTGGCAAGGAGGCGTTTGGGACCTCCTTGCCTGGCCAACGCAAAATCCCCTTTTCTCGGAACGCGTTAGGCCAGGGTAATTGCTGCCTCTTCCCCAGCACGCCTGCTCAGGTCGGGCCGCTGTTGAAAGCACAAGCCAGTCGGAAAAAAAGGTTTTAACAAGTTCATTCCAAAATCCACCGATGCAAATGGTCGTGTTATGTTGCTGGATAAATCCTGCCCAGCTTTCTGTCATTTGGGTGGAAGCAAAAGCTCTGAGGCATGAAAATTATGGCCTTTCCCCTTTTATTTATTCCTTGTACAGTGGTACCTCGGGTTACATACGCTTCAGGTTACATACGCTTCAGGTTACAGCCTCCGCTAACCCAGAAATAGTGCTTCAGGTTAAGAACTTTGCTTCAGGATGAGAACAGAAATCATGGTCCGGCAGCGCGGCGGCAGCAGGAGGCCCCATTAGCTAAAGTGGTGCTTCAGGTTAAGAACAGTTTCAGGTTAAGAACGGACCTCCAGAACGAATTAAGTACTTAACCCGAGGTACCATTGTATCTTAACCAGAAGTATATGGAGGTTCATGCCTACCTGCTTAGCATCTGAGGCTGTAAGAAGACTCCTGCATGTTTTAGATTTGCGTAGAAGCTTTTCTTGTTGTTCTGCAGTGATGGGAGAAGCTGAACCTATTTGGGGTTTCTTTCACATAAATCTTAAAGGTGAAGGAGCCTTTTCTGGAGTAAGAGTAGAAGCTCCAGTTCAGTTCAGCTTCTGCAGTGTTTTAAACCAGGGGTGGCCCTCCAGATGTTTTGGGAATCCATCTCATAGTAAACTCTGGCCAGTCATGGTCAGGGATGATGGGAGTTGTAGTCTGACAAGATCTGTAGGGTCGCAGGTTTCCTGCCCCAGCAACAGAGGCTTGGGAGATTATGCATGTTGGAACTCAAGTTCACCCAGTGACTGAATTTGCAATAGATCTGGGACAGTTCTGTTTATGGAATCCATAAGGTGTGGTGATGGCTGCAGGTTCGAACACTTTTAAAAGGGAATTAGATTTATGGAACATAGGTCTCTCGGTGGTTATGAGCGCCGATAGCTCCATAGAACCTCCAGTTCAGATTCAGTATATCTCTAAATGCCGGGTGCCAGGGAGGACTATGGCTTGCATGTCCCGCAGTCTTCCGAGAAACAGCTGTCTGTCTGCTGATGCAACCGCTGGGTGCAAGACTCAATGAACCTTTGGTCTGATCTGGTGTGGCAATTCTGAACTTCTTTTGTAGTTGCTGACAAAGGACATATGGCATTTGGCTGTGGCACTCGCAGGATAGCTGGCGTTGGTTGTGAGAACTTGTGGGTTTTCCATCTCAAGACTGAGAGTGGCATACAGCGTCCTTGTTCCTTTGGCACGAGGATTTACGCTGGTGCAACTGAACACAGGCACGCCCTCCCAAAACCAGCTTCAGAAGGTGGGGGGAATCCCACGCAGATTTATTGGGGGGGACGACACGGGGAGGAGAGGGGAGACGGTCCCCACTGTACAAGCAGAAAGCCTTGTGCTAAGGAAACGAGTGACTTAACACTACTTTGGATTCAACCCTCTTTTCACTGGAAATCAGAGAATCATAGAGTTGGAAGAGTCTGCTACAGAGCTGCATAGAAGTGCATTCATTCATTCATTTATTCACAGAAGCATAGAATGGTAGAGTTGGAAGGGACCTCAGCGGTCATCTAGTCCAACCCCCTGCCATGCAGGGATCTTTTTGCCCCACGTAGGGCTTGAACCCACGACCCTGAGATTAAGGGTCTCGTGCTCCACTGACGGAGCTATCCCAGATGCGTTTTGTCTATTTGATATATTTATTTGAATCTATTTCTACCCCATCCTTCAGTAGACAGAAAGCGGGAACGAGCCCCCACTGAACTCCTGTTGCATGTCACCCATCATACTATGAGCATGGCTTAGAAAAGTGGCCAGGAATCTGTTGCCCTGCAACTCCCATCGTTCTTCACCGTCAGATATGCTGGCTGGCACTGATGGGGACTGGAGCTCACCAACAACTAGAGGACCACAGTATAAAAAAATTCCTTCCAGTAGCACCTTAGAGACCAACTCTGTTTGTTATTGGTGTGAGCTATTGTGTGCATGCACACTTCTTCGGATGCGGCAGGTTCCCCATCCCAGTATCATCATGCCCTGGATTTTTTTTCTGCAGTGCTGAGATCCTGACCCACCTCCCACCTGTGGACACAGGGGCCATTCCGTGCCCTTCCTCTGCCCATTTGGTTGGCACGTCGTGTGCTCAGAGCACCTCATTTGGTTCAGAGGCTGCCAGCTGCCGATTCCTATGCTAGGGATCCGTTTCTGGTGAATTGCGTCCTCCCCTCTGCCCCCTCCCCCCCCCCCGAAAGAGCCTGGTGTGATGATAAAATAGCACGCCTGGAAGTTTCTGCAGAGTATCCGTCCTTCAAACAGCCCCTTGGAACAGGGGGAATTGCTAGTTTCCGACCAGGGCAGTTGGCAAAACAAACAACGGCAGAAGGCTCTGGGGGCGGGTGGAGAGGTAGCCTGACTTCCCTGTTTCGACAGAAGTCAAGCCACCCACATTTCCCCAGCGTGACTTAACAGTTGATCCACGTGGAAAGTTTAAGCAGGTGGGCAGACCGGAGCCTGGCTCCCCCGGGGCCTTTCCCTACAGGAAGAATGGCCCCCTAAGTAACCAACTTCTGCTAGCGGTCCAGCTTACTCCCTTCTGTGGTCTGCTTCTTTCCTGGTCCTGCCGCTTCCTGGTCTGCGGCAGTGGCCTGATGCTAGAACTGTGCTTATTTCCCCCAACCATTCTGCATCAGTTAACGAGGAAAGAAACGGCACTTTAAAATTATCAGAGGGGAGAGAAGGCTCCCAGTGAAACTCTCAGGTGTGGTGCAGGGTTCTCGATGCAAGGACTTTTCCTTCTGAGGTGGCACAGAGGGGTTCATGAGTGTCTTTTCATTCTATAAATTGCTGGTCCCATGGTCTGCCCCCTTCCTGGGTGCCCATGCGTCAGTCAAAACCCAGGGGAAGACTTCATGGAGGTCAGGAAGTGCGGGCTGCAGAAAATGCTTGCAGGATAGAAAATTGCACCCACTCTTCCACTTTGCAATGATGAAATAGGCTTGAAATCCTGCACCGACCCCAAATTCTAAATAAGTTATAAAGAAAGTGCCCCGAGAATGAAAACGCCGCGAAGAATTTGCTTCCGTGAGATGTTACAGTGGGCATCAACATGGCTGGCTTTAATAGAAGATTAGACAGAAGCAGAAGACCAGCTGCAGGAATTATGCTGGTCTGTGACCGTAATAAAGTAAATTCATTCATTCAGTTGCAGGATAGAACAAGTAGGCCCTGCTTGCAAGATGCTGGAGCAGATGGTCTTTGGCCTGATCTAGAATAGCTCTTATTATGTTCCTATTGCCAGATCCTTCTTCCGGATACACAAGCACCGGGAGTATCTGGATTTATGGAATGCGAAACCCTTGCCTCCCTGTTTACATGAGAAACCTATACGCAGCCTTTTAGTACTTCGCCTCCAAAGTGGCTTAACAAACATACCTAAGCCAGTGCAAATGAACTGAGTTCAGCAGCACACATTTGGAGTAGAGATGGTTAGGAATGCACTGCAAGAGATCAACAGCAGTAGCCACAGAGCTATAAACCCTACAGGCAGAGATTAAATAAGGATAAATCCAAAAGACGACAGAGGAGGCCATTTCTGGTAGCCACCCAGTCTCTATTGATTATCTTGGTGAGTTTGCTGGTTTTTATGGGAGAAGGCTGCCTAGGAACGCCATTCAGGGCTTCATAGTCTTATCCCCATTTTACAGCTGAGGGAAACTGAGGCTGACAGACACCATGAACCACTCACAAGGTCACAAGGACAGTAGATAGAAACCGATCTCATCCTCTTATCTCTGGAGATGTAACACTGAAAAGTCCCAAAATAGCTTGGGAATTTCCTTAGCCCGATAAGCTGGGGCTGTTCAATGGAGACAGCCTTATCTCTGTCTTTGCAGCTGTAAAACATAAATCCTCAATTTACAAGAGACCACAGCCTCCCTCCGCAAGAGTCATGTGGAAACGAAAAGAGTTGACTGCACCAAACTTTGAAGAAGGGAAGTGGAAGTCTGACAGTCGGGTTTCTTCTGAATACTGCTGTTGGAGTAGCGCTGAGACTCAGGGGGTGTGCTGAGGACTTTCCACTGAGGTACCCCAAGTTAGACTCAAAGGGTCTTGGGTCACCTTAAAGACTATCATACAATGTACTGTGGCACGAGGTTTTGTGGACTCAAGCCCACTTCCTCAGGTGCGTGAAATGAAATCTTAGCTGGCAGGTGCAGAAAAGAGAAAACTTTGAGGAGGTGGGGAGCGAAATGGCAGGGAGATGCAAAAATTATGGCCGACGATAGCCAGGTTTGATTCCTCGTTCTTGGAGATGAGTCAAGTTTAGGGTGTGTATACGTCTTTCGAAAGAACTAGGACCAGGTTTTTATTCTTAATAGCATCATCAGCTGCCTCCTTTCTCTTTGCCACCCTAAAACTCTTGGACCTTTCAGGGCGCCTTGATTTGCAGACCATAGCAGGAAGTACTATTTTATCTCCACACAAGTGAAAAGATTCGGCTGTCGATTTCTACAGATTGCTACTGGTCTGCCACTAAGCTTTTCCACCCCCCTAGTCGGTTGACAACCCAGCAATGATGGCTAGTGATAGAGAATCGCAAGTTCTTCACTGTATGTTTAATGTTTTGTGATCTGCTATGAGTGCTTATTTGATCAGGAGGTGGGATAGAAACAGAGAAGACTACTTTCTTCTTTGGAAGCTTAGGCCCCTCCTCCTTTGCCTTTGTTGCTGATAAATTTTAAATAATAACATTTAATTCTTACCCTTTCAAATGGGAAACAGCAAATGAGTAGCAGCATATACACCATACCTTTAAATCACATTCAAAGCATATACCTCCCCCCCAAATAATCCTGGGAATTATAGTTTGCTAAGGGTGCTTGGAATTGGAACCCTGTGCAAAGGTAAACTACAGTTCCCATGATTTTTATTTTTATTTTGCAGGGGGAGGAATGGTCTTTGAATGTGCTTTAAAAAGATGCTGCGTACACAGCCGTACCAGCAGATCTTTAGAAATTAAAGAAAGCATCATCCTAACATGCAGACAGGAATTAAGCAAGCGAAACTTTCCCTCCCTACTTGCATTTCCAGGCCAGGAAAATCTTAACATTTCTGTTTGCTAAATTAACTAAATTTCTGCTTGCCAGCCTGCTGTTAATGGCGCAAGAAAGAGATGCGGGCCGTAGAACCAGGAGAAACCGTGAGACAGGGCGCCTGGGAAAAGTTTCCCCAAAACAAGAATTTCTGCTTGCCATGCAGCTATCAAACGTCTCTCTCCTTCCCCCGACTCTTGCTCTGAACTCCACGTTCGCTTAAATGCACAATGGGCATACCCTGGGCATTCTCCTTTGCCAAGCACTGCATGCTCTCTCTCTATTTTTTTAAGGGGGTGGAATGATGAAGAAGAAAGGGAGCGTTCCCCTTAAACATCACGGTCTTTGTCCTGGAGAAGGGAACATGCAGGGCAGCTGATTTGACCATGTATGTGGGACGAGATGGGATGAGGAGCTGGAGTCAAAGCTTCTTTGATCCTGCGAGGAAGAGAAGCTTAAAAATAGACTCTTCCTGTACCATAAATAGATGCTGTGTCAGTGTCAGACGGCTGCAAATATGGGGCTTCGTTTTGGGGTGTGTCTGTGGCCTGTGGCCGTTCGCTTTCAGAGAGAGAGAGAGAGAGAAAGCCTGCAGAGGGCTGGAGCTGAACCAGAGAGCCCTGGTTCTCGGATGGAAACTCGCTAGATGGCCAAAGCATCCTTTTCTCTCTCTTAACCGACCTTACTAGGAAAGCCGCGGCCAGGTTATGGGAAGAAAGTTAGGAAGCCCCTAAGGAAATTAAAAGCAACACTTTACATCCCATTGCTTTTAAACTCTGGAATGGAAGTCCCAGTCAATTTAGTGCAGAATTTACTTCTGACTAAACACACAGAGGGATGCGGGTGGCGCTGTGGTCTAAACCACAGAGCCTAGGGCTTGCCGATCAGAAGGTTGGCGGTTCGAATCCCCACAACAGGGTGAGCTCCCATTGCTCGGTCCCTGCTCCTGCCCACCTAGCAGTTCAAAAGCACGTCAAAATGCAAGTTGATAAATAGGTACCGCTCTGGTGGGAAGGTAAACGGCGTTTCCGTGCGCTGCTCTGGTTCGCCAGAAGCGGCTTAGTCTTGCTGGCCACATGACCCGGAAGCTGTACGCCGGCTCCCTCGGCCAATAAAGCGAGATGAGCGCCGCAACCCCAGAGTCGGTCACGACTGGACCTAATGGTCAGGGGTCCCTTTACCTATTGTTTCAGAAAGTGTGGATTAGGTAAGTTCACCTTTAAATGCAGACTGAACAGACTTCAGAGTAAACATGCACCAAATCCTGCTGCTCCCCTATTTCTGTGGGAGAAAGTTTCTTTGCGTATATGTTCAACTTATATGTCTGTGCAATGTGTAAGGATACAGGCACTCATCTTGCGTTAGGGTTTAAGGACTCTGACGCAAGCCATTTTCTTTTTCTTTTACTTTTAATGCTTCATTGAGATTAAAAAGCAAACAAACAGTCATCAAATGAATACAGTGGTACCTCGGGTTAAGTGCTTATTTCGTTCTGGAGGTCCGTTCTTAACCTGAAACTGTTCTCAACCTGAAGCACCACTTTAGCTAATGGGGCCTCCTGCTACTGCCAAGGTACTATTTCTGGGTTAGTGGAGTTTGTAACCTGAAGCGTATGTAACCTGAAGCGTATGTAACCTGAGGTACAACTGTAATACACCTTGCGAAAAATTAACTTACTTTCTTCTTACGTAATTTCTATAGAGACTTCTATAGAAGTCTTTCTATAGAGACTATCCGCAACGTATTTGATATACCGCACTCTTCATTTTCAATCATAATGTAAAGGAACCCCTGACCGTTAGGTCCAGTCGTGACCGACTCTGGGGTTGCGGCGCTCATCTCGCTTTACTGGCCGAGGGAGCCGGTGTACAGCTTCAGGGTCATGTGGCCAGCATGACTAAGCCACTTCTGGTGAACCAGAGCAGCGCACGGAAACGCCGTTCACCTTCCCGCTGGAGCGGTACCTATTTATCTACTTGCACTTTGACGTGCTTTCAAACTGCTAGGTTGGCAGGAGCAGGGACCGAACAATGGGAGCTCACCCCGTCACGGGGATCTGCAGTCCCCTACATTTTCAATCATAGTATATCACAATTGTCTTATTTCCCTAAGGTTTCCTACTATTCCGCAAACCATTTTCAAATGCTCCCACATTCAACAGAAACCTACCTGCAAGTAAAGCAAAGGAAGAGGAAGCTGGATCTAGAAACATTCTAATCCAGCCCTCTGGAAGTTCTCCTTTATGAAGAGGAGCAATTGAAACTAACAACATTTTAATTTATTTATTTTTGCTGGCTGGCATTGACTTTTGATGCCTCTCATTTGGCGCGTCCTCACCCCTCGGGCTATAGGACCTTCTGCCCTTGCCTGTTCCAATGACATGTAGATATCCTAAGTTATCACATGGTTGCCAACTGACCGGGGAGAGAGAAAAACCAAGATTAGACGGCTTCTATGCCCTTATAAATCACTTGATGCATGGAAATCAGCAGGGACAAGCTTTTTCGCCTCATGCAGATAAGCATCAGCACCTGCCGACACCTGCAAAGCAAGTGGCAAGTTAAAAAGCACAGGAGCGTGGGCTGGATAAAAAAGTTGGCAACCTCATCCTCCACACCCTACCACTCTTCTTTGCAGCTATGCCAAACTCCAGCGCAGGTTCCCTGGCAGGATTCTGTTGCCTCTGGAGGGTCAAATTTCGGAAGTATGTGAGAGGAGTCAATTAATAGCGATGGGCAATCCGAAACGCCAGAGGGGACTGCTTGGGTGGATCCCAGGTTTCTCCTTCCAGATCTCCAGGAAGACGCCACATCCTAATGCGTACATCAATAACAGAAACAAAAGCCAAACAGGAGCTCTGGAAACCTGCTTGTAAATGCATTTCTTATTTAAATCCCACACCAGCCTTTGTCAACTTCGTAAGTTTTGGACTACAATTCTCATTCACCCAAGCCTTAGGAGTTATAGGCAAAAACATCTGCAGTGGCGAAGGCTGCCCTATGACCACTGCCTCTGTAAGGGCCTCCTCATGCTTTGCCATGACTCAGGAATGGCTGACTGCATATTTCTGCGTCAAGTGCAACTTCAGAAACAATTTGAGCCTGCTACGTAGAATTATCCTTCTCCCCATTTCACAGATCCTGGGACTGAGGGGGAGCAAGGTTGCTACACTGCAAGGAGACCTTGCTCCTTTATACATAGGAATCTGGTCCTCTGTGTGTTTTAAACAGTAAAGGGACCCCTGACCGTTAGGTCCAGTCGTGACCGACACTGGGGTTGCAGCGCTCATCTCGATTTATTGGCTGAGGGAGCCGGCGTACAGCTTCTGGGTCATGTGGCCAGCATGACTAAGCCGCTTCTGGTGAACCAGAGCAGCGCACAGAAACGCCGTTTACCTTCCCGCTGGAGCGGTACCTATTTATCTACTTGCACTTTTATGTGCTTTCAAACTGCTAGGTTGGCAGGAGCAGGGACCGAGCAACGGGAGCTCACCCCGTCGCGGGGATTCGAACCGCTGACCTTCTGATTGGCAAGCCCTAGGCTCTGTGGTTTAGACCACAGCGCCACCCGTGTCCCCTTCTGAAACAATACCTGCATCGAAATTCAGCTGTCCTTTGAAATTCGCAGTGCTCTGAATTTTGCGGTGCAGTTCTCCACCTGAGTAATTGGAACAAAAAATGCATATACAGAGGTGGAGTTTGCATATCAAACGCCTACGTCTGTGAAAATTGCTTTGCAAAAATGTGAGCGTTCGGCAAAACTGCACACAAAAGTACGTGTATCCGGAGGGAAATGCTGGTGAATTTCCATGAGGACGTACCGTATTTATCTTTCTATAAGACGCCCCGTGTATAAGACGGCTCCTATTTTGGGGGACTCCAAATTAAGAAAACATCCCTCAGCACTACCCGTGTATAAGACTAGCCCCAATTTTAAACCTAATTTTTTGGTTAAAAAAACCTAGTCTTAGACACGGAAAAATACGGTATATATCTATATAGATATATGTCGCAAATCCCTGTGGAAATGTGGAAAACCAAAGATTATAAAACTGAGAGGAACCAAAACGGACATAATTGCGCATCCCTACTGAGGAGTCAGTTTTGTTGTCTTCATTGGGACTTAGTCTCTGAGCAAGTGTGCTTATGGTGTCCGAATCCAGCAGCCCTGTGACCCTCCAAAGCTCAGTTTTGTTTTCCATTCCAATTGTAAGTTCTGTTTTTCATTTCGTTTGTAAATTCCTAACATTCAGCGATTTGCAGCTCAACTCTTGCTGGGACATTAATCGGATTGCCGGGGAGTTCAGACGTCGCCTGAAGCTCTTGCAAAGCTTATATTCTCTTGACACCTTCCAAAGGAAGAAATACATAATTTGGTCGTGTTTGAAATGGAACCAGCACAAACAAACAGAAAACAACTTAAGACTCCTCTCCTATTCTCTTTATGCAGAAGGCTACATACCAAAGACACCCTACTCTGTCTTCTTTGGGTTCAACTTATCACAAATCCGGAAAACCCTTCATGACTCCAGTCTGCTGTACCGTGCTGAACTGAGAATGCGCATCTCTGGAACGGTTCAGGATCAGCGACTGGAGCTTTACCAGGTACGATGGGAAAATGCTATCGGAGTTCAAAGATGCCCACAAGTTGTACCCTCTCGCCTGGAAACTGTTCAGACTGTTTGGAGATGCTTATGGTTATTCGTGGGTGGAAAGAGGAAATTTCTCAGCATATGCTCAGAGGCATTATTTTATTTGCACCCAGGGACAACAGCTGATTTCAAAGACAGGCCCCTGGATCATTGCTAATGATCATTCATTCGTATTAAACCCCAAACAAGAGCAGGGACAATATTGCTTGCATTCTATCCCTGAGAATGAGGGTGGTGGGGTGGGAAGAAATTGAAATTTCTGATTTTGAAATCAAAACGAAGGCACATTTATGCAAATTATGTTCATTTGCCAAAAAAAGAAAAGAAAAAGTATGTATTTGTTTGCCTGCATTAGTCTGGAGTATTTCAGCTGCAGAAATCAAAATATTGTGGGGAAGAGGTATCTGTAGCGAGGGAACTGGAATCTAGGAATGTTTAGGGAAGCTTTTAATGTTTAATAGGTTATTGTATTTTAATATTCTGTTGGAAGCCGCCCAGAGTGGCTGGGGAAACCCAGCCAGCTGGGCGGGGTATAAATAAATAAATTATTATTATTATTATTATTATTATTATTATTAATCTCTCGGCATATGCTCAGAGGCATTCTCATATTCACACCCAGGGACGATCCCTGATTTAGAGGACAGCTTCTGTGGATTATTTCTAAGGATCCTTTATTCATATTAAGTCCCAAACAGGAGCCAGGACAAGACTGTTTGCCTTCTAATATTGACATAGAATTTGGAGGGACCAAATGCCCACTTCATGGTTCCCCTAGCTCTTCTGCAGATGTTGCCCCTGTTTTCCAGTTCTGCCCCAGAAACTATAACCTTGAACTAGAAATTAAGCGATAGCATTTGAATTCAAAGTGCTTCAGCACATCGTTCTGTCGAACAATGAACCACCCTTGGTCTTATGTCGGAGATGGAGAGACTGCCTTGTTTACACTTACCCTTTCCATCCAGGAGCAGATCCACTCGATCAACAGCACTTGGTACTACATGGACGGGCGTATGGTGAAGGTGAAGAACGAGAAGGAGTGGCTTTCGTTTGACGTCACCTCCGTCCTCCGGCAGTGGCTTGGAAGCACAGGTAAGCCAGGAAGTACCTAAAGGTGTGAGCGGGGCAGGGTCCGAGAGTTGATGGCAGCTGGAAAGAGTAATTCGCTTGGGGGAGAGGAAGAACAGGATGTGTGACAAAAGAGGACAATGGTTAACTAGAGGCTAAAAAGTGGTTTGTTGGAAGAACTGAGCCTAGCCCGCCGGAATAACCACAGTTAGTTCTCTGCCAAGTTTGTTGTTGACTCGCAAACCATGCCACCTTTAGCACGTCCAAACAACAGCCTTGCTGAACTATGGTTTGTTTGGACCCTCGATCCCAGACACCTGCCGGGTTACAAAGGCGTTGTTGTTGTTTAGTCGTTTAGCCGTGTCCGACTCTTCGTGACCCCATGGACCAGAGCATGCCAGGCACTTCTGTCTTCCACTGCCTCCCGCAGTTTGGTCAAACTCATGCTGGCAGCTTCAAGAACTCTGTCCAGCCATCTCGCCCTCTGTCGTCCCCTTCTCCTTGTGCCCTCCATCTTTCCCACCATCAGGGTCTTTTCCAGGGAGTCTTCTCTTCTCATGAGGTGGCCAAAGTCTTGGAGCCTCAGCTTCAGGATCTGTCCTTCCAGTGAGCACTCAGGGCTGATTTCCTTCAGAATGGATAGGTTTGATCTTCTTGCAGTCTATGGGACTCTCAAGAGTCTCCTCCAGCACCATAATTCAAAAGCATCAATTCTTCGGCGATCAGCCTTCGTTATGGTCCAGCTCTCATTTCCATATATCACTACTGGGAAAACCATAGCTTTAACTATACGGACCTTTGTTGGCCAGGTGATGTCTCTGCTTTTAAGAGCAACAGAAAAAGACGCCAAGCGTTGTAGGGCTACAAGTCCCATCATTCATGACCACTGACAATGCTAGTGTGGCTGATGGGAGTTGTAGTCTAACGACATCTGGAAGGCCCCACATTGACTATCCCTGGTATAGCACATGTCTGGCAGTAGCAGCCAGCTTTCACACAAACTAGCCTGTTAGATGATGTGTGATTTGTCGAACAAACCACGGTTGAAGGAAACCGTGGGTTGAACGTTATGTGCAAGCCCATCCATTGACAGATATATCTTCTTCCAGATTCAGGTAGGTAGCCGTGTTGGTCTGACATAGTTGAAATAAATTAAAAAATTGTCCAGTAGCACCTTAGAGACCAACTAAGTTTGTTCTGGGTATAAGCTTTCGTGTGCAGTGTGCATGCACACGAAAGCTTATACCCAGAACAAACTTAGTTGCCTCTAAGTCCTAGCCGCCCCTCCAAGGCAGTGCCAACGTGCTTATTTCTCCAGGGACTAGAATTGTGGGGCAACCTCTCCCTGCTTTGCCTTTGTGCCGGAGGTGAGAGGGGGAGAAAAGGGGGTGGAAAAAAACAAAACAATGCCGCAATCCGCTGAGTCGGCACACCACGCCCTGGGCACACTGCCACAGTGTTTTGGAAGGAGCCAGATCAAAAGTGCACATGCGTCAGGCACACTTGCCATGCGCCACTCCGCGGCTGCATTCTTTGCACAGGTTGCTACTGAAAGGAGAGGAGAGGAACGCAAGGATTGTGATGTTGCAAGCACTAAATTTCTTGCGTCCGGGTGGCCGTCTACCTGCAACTCACCCTCTCTGAACTCAAACCCCTTTTTGCCTTAGTAAGTTGAAGAGGTGACGACAGTCGTCAGCTGCAGGAATGGGTAGAGAAATATTGGGGGTGTGGTGATTTAGAGGAAAGGTGGGGTCATATTGAAGAGAGTGCCAGCCTCACTGCCCAGCTTCCGTGTTGGGCTGGGCTGCCCACAGATCAAAGACAGGCTCAGATCTTGCCATGCTTCAAGCGCCATTCTCTATATTTCTTAAAGATACCACACGGAAGTTTTATGTGAGTGCCTTTATGTTTGGGGAGGATGAGCTCGCATTAAGGCACACCTACCACCCTGCATTCTTGGGATAAAGGGCAGAATGCAAATAAATAATTTTTAAAAACCTCGCGCTTTCAGAAACAACACGCAGACCAAAACACAGCAGCCGTCGTTTTAAATTTTGCACTCCTCCAGATTTCGCAGGGCAGTTTCCCCAGCCAAGTAACAATCGCAGAAATAGATTGATATGCTCGTGTGACGTAGTGCGTGGGTACATTGCTGAAAACAGCTTGGGGAAAAAGTGTGTCATATTAGGTGGAAATCGTTCGGCAGAAATAAGCACGTCGGACAAAATTGCACATGGAATTGTGTGTATTGGGAGAATTTTGTATTAAAATGCTAATGAAGTCTCATTAGGACTTAAAAAAAAACTGATTTGGAAATCTGGAGAACTGAATTTCAGATTTGATTCCTGTCACAGATGTTAATGTTCCTATCTATGTGTTTGCCACTTGTTTTTTTTAAAGGCAGCCTCCTTAATCACACACCCAAAACTTTGTGTAAAGATTGGGGGTCGGGGAGGAGCAACCAACAGACATTGTCTGCAGCCAACATCCGTACACACATGGGCTGGTGTCCGGAGAAGAAAGGCGCACTTGGATTTAATGTGGCAAACACCTATCTTCACCTTTGGGCCCCTGTTGCGTGTGCCTCCAGGGTTGCGGGTTCAAATCCTTACCCCGCTCCTGCTGGGGGCTATGAGCACGACACCCGAAAATCCACGTTGTTTGTATTTCAGAGCCTCTGGGAAGATTTCGCCTCAGCTCCCACTGTACCTGTGAAAGCGGGGTGGAGGAACTGAAAGTGGAAGTTGAAGGTAAGAGCTAAGGAATGGGGTCAGTGTCCTGGTTTTCCAGGGATGGCTCTCCATCCCTGTTTCGAACCCGGAACATCCCTGTTTCCCCTGCCAGCGCTGCCAGTGAAAAATGGGGGACAAAAAATGGAGGGTCAGTTGTGGAGGGAAGTGAGAATCGTAGAATGGGCAGAGTTGGAAGGGACCCCAGGGGTCATCCAGCCCAACCCCCTGAAATGCAGGGAAATAGGAAATGTCCTTATGTTGTAGGGTTTACATCTAATGCCTGTAGTGCCAGCTTTATTGATTGATTTAAATTCATGGCCCGTCCTTCACCTTTGAAGGCGATCCATAGCTCCTAGCCCTGATGGCTATAAATTGCTTCCACGGTTTGAGGCAGCAGTGTTTCTGAATACCAGTCGTTGTGAATCGCAGAAGGGGAGAGATCTCCTGCGCTCGGATCCTGTGGGCATCCGTCCGGCCACTATGAGAACAGGAGGCTGCTGGACGAGGTGGGAAACAAGGCCAGATCTTTCAGGCTTTTCTCATGCTCTCAGGCCCCGCCAAAGGCTGTCTTCGGTCCCTGTCTGGCATCTCCCTCGTCACTTGCCTGTCAACAACTGGTAAGCGCAGGCTCGGCGGATTCCGCCTTCAGGACGAGACTTGCCTCCTTCTGGGAATCGGGCCTAGAGAACTTCCTCATCCTCCTGACGCACATACCTGCCATACCTTCTGCCCAGGGTGGGGTTGTGGGGGGGGGGCGCCGTGCCAGTTCTGGCGACACTTTTGTCACATGATTCAGCTCGATGGGAACCTCCTCTAGGGGGCAGCGTGAAGCACGAGCACCCGCAACACACACACACACATACACCCCCCTTGCACACGCAAACTAGCACACACCCGCTGCGTTTCGTCAGCTAAATATAGGCTGCCGTGCTGACAGCAAACAGCTTCACCGTCGGATCGCAGAAAGGGTGGTTCTGTCGTGCTTCTGGCGGCTGGCACGCTCCAGAATTCCAGAACGCTTCCCTCCCTCAATGCACTTTCCACTGCAACACTGTTGTTTCACACCTGCGCACCTGACTCACTTTACTTACAGCAAACATAAGAGTTGGCCTTTTCCCCTCTCTCAGGGTGCCTCATATCCCTGCCGTGCCCATGTTTTTTGGGCTGTGGGGACGCATCTGGCTGTAGGGAGGCAAGCACAGGGGTAACTCTGGAGCAGGAGTCGGCAGCGTGTGGCCCATGGGCCAGATGCGGCCCACGAAGACCGTTTTACCGCCCCACGAGCTGCCCCTGAACTGAGCTGCCTGCTCAGCGAGTCCCCCCCGTGCTGCGCTAAACCAGTGGAGCACGGCACAGGGACTCACCGAATTATGCTGGAAATCGAGTCTGCGCATTCGCAGGTACCAGGAATCTGCGCAGGCACGATTTTCAGTGTCTGCGCATGCGCAGACGCGATTTCTGATGTCGCGCTGTGCCGGTCCAGCCCACAGACGATCTCCGCGGGAGTGATCCGGCCCATGGCCGGTAAGCCTTGCCGACCCCTGCTCTGGAGGGTAGGACTCGGACCAGTGGCTTCATGTCACAAGAAGGGAGATTCCAACTAAACATCAGGAAAGAACTTTCTGACAGTAAGAGCTGTTCGGCAGGGGAACAGACTCCATCGGGAAGTTGTGGACTCTCCTTAGAGGTTGGATGGCCATGTGTAATGGATGCTTTAGCTGAGATTCCTTCATTGCAGGGGGTTGGGCTAGATGACCCCGGGGTCCCTTCCAACTCTATGATTCTATGGCTCACACAGGGGTGCGGTGGGCAGCCTCTTTGGCAAATGGCTGCTTTTTGGCCCCCAGGAGCCTCCAGCGCAGTTTAGGAACGACTGCCTTCCCACTTGTGGGCCGATGGGATAGGCAAACTTCCTGCTCCTCAGCATTTAATTCCCATCACCTATCCTAGCATGGGCAGCAGAGTGGGAAGGAACGGAGAAGTCAGCGCATCTGAAGGTCCTCGGATGCCCTCTTCCTCCACAATCGCACCCATAACCCCACACATTCCTGATCCCAGTGGGCACCACATAAGGTTGCTGGCAGAAAGAAACAAGCCAAGTCGGTCGGGCAGCACAGCCTTCGCCCAACCTGCAGCTGCCCTCCTGATTTTTGTGCCCCCATATATACCTAATTCGAAATATAAACAACAATAAAGCACAAAGTAAAATTTCATTTTCCAAGATGAAACAAGTAACCTACAGTAAGATGGAAAACAATGTTTATTTTTGTGGACTTCCACTTCCTTTAAATTTGAATTTCTCTCTCTCTGACTTTTTCTAATGGCACAGTCAGATCCTCAAAGCTAATCTTGCGCAACACGTCTGCATCTATACTTAGTAGAGAGAAGGCACCCAGCTTGCTTTGTTGCATAGTCATCCTGTTGTGATTTCTAATTGACTTCCGTTGAGAAACCCAGCACGGCTGAGCAGCTTGTGGCCATTAATGTGGGGGAAAAAATCTGGCCATGGGAAATTTCTGCGATGCCCTGAGCACATGCTTATTTTGCTTAACGGTTCATTGAGAGCTCTGCCCCCACCCAGACAAGGAAGAGGAATGATCAGGAGACCAAGAACGCTTCCCAAAAGGAGGGTTAGGGGATGGGAACAGCGTCAGTGAGGGCTTTGGCCTAGGAAGAGTCTGGTGTGGTAAATGGCATTCCAGTCAGTGCCGCTGGAGGGTATTTTCCCTGCCTGCCCAGTTCCCGTTCCCCAGCCACGCCGTCGGAAGCTGGTACTCGGGGAAACATTTGATCGATGTGATTTATAAAGCGCCTTCACCCTTATTATTATTTTATTCATGCGCTTCTAAAGGGTGGCACTGTCGGTTAAACCACAGAGCCTAGGACTTGCCGATCAGAAGATCGGTAGTTTGAATCCCCGCGATGGGGTGAGCTCCCGTTGCTCGGTCCCTGCTCCTGCCAACCTAGCAGTTCAAAAGCACGTCAAAGTGCAAGTAGATAAATAGGTACCACTCCGGCGGGAAGGTAAACAGCGTTTCCGTGCGCTGCTCTGGTTCGCCAGAAGCGGCTTAGTCATGCTGGCCACAGGACCCGGAAGCTGTACGCCGGCTCCCTCGGCCGATAAAGCGAGATGAGCGCCGCAACCCCAGAGTCGGCCACAACTGGACCTAATGGTCAGGGGTCCTTTACTAAAGGTGCCACCACAAGGTGTTTCACATATGGCACCATCCAGATGGTTTAAAACAAAATAAAGCCCGTGCGACACGTCTAATGAATTCTTGTCTGTTTCCAGGCACCAAATTAAGGAGGGGTGATCAGCAAGGGATCAGCCAGGCAAAACAGCAGCCCCCCTATCTTCTGGTGATGGCGATGCCCCCCGAGCGGGCAGACCACCTGCAAAACCGCCGGCAAAAGCGAGCGGCAGGCATGGAGTATTGCAGCCAGTGAGTGGCTTCTGGGTTTTTTTGTGTGGGACTCTTTCGCTGTTGAGAGCCTCTTGGGTTATAAAGTGGGGTGACAGCTCAGCTGGTAAAGCATGAGATTCTTAATCTGATGTTCATGGGTTTGAGCCCCACGTTAGGCAAAAAGATTCCTGCATTGCAGGGGGTTGGACTAGATGGCCGCTGAGGTCCCTTCTAACTCTACAGCTCTATGCTTCCATGAATGAATGGATGAATGCACTTCTATGCAGCTCTTTAGCCAAAAAGACTTCTTACAAAAATCAGCGTTAAGACAGTCCCCGCCCTAAGGCTTACAATCTAAAAACACATCCTCCTCGTCATCATTATTTATTAAATTTATCGGCCGCCCTTCATCCTAAGTTTACAGGGTGGTTTAAAATATGAACAAAACAAAAATGAATACCATGATAACAAACAAAAGCAATATTTATTAAATTTAGAGACCGTCCTTCATCCTAAGATCACAGGGTGGTTTACAATATAAAAACACAAAAATGAATACCATAATAACAAACCAAAACAACAATGCGTCCATAGTTTAAAAGGCCATGGGTAGTTTAATTAGCCTGGGAGAAGAGGAATGTTTTTGCCTGGCACCTAAATATATGTAAGGTGCCAGGCGAGACTACCTGGAGAGAGAATCCCACAAATGGGGCCACCACAGAAAAGGCCCATTCTCGTGTTGCCACGCTCCAGATCGCTTGTGGAGGAGGAGGCACACGAAGAAGGGCCATGGAGCAGGATCAATTTCCCACTGCACTCCTGGCTGGGTTTCAGGATCTGTGGTTTTGCGGCAGCTAAACTGGTGACTGGGACTGGCCGCCGAAACCATATAACACCGGTCCTGAAAGACCTACATTGGCTCCCAGTACGTTTCCAAGCACAATTCAAAGTGTTGGTGCTGACCTTTAAAGCCCTAAACTAAGGATACCAGATTTTTTTCAATGAATCCAGGGACACTTTTCAACTTCAGTCGGAATGATAGTGGAAATGATAGGAGACTGATTTATAAATCCGGGGACTGTCCCCTAGAAACGAGGACGTTTGGTAACCTTACTCCTAAACAGCCTTGGCCCAGTATACCCAAAGAAAGGTCTCCACCCCCATCGTTCTGCCCGGACACTTTGGTCCAGCTCCGAGGGCCTTCTGGCGGTTCCCTCCTTGCGAGAAGTGAGGCTACAGGGAACCAAGCAGAGGGCCTTCTTGGTAGTGGCACCCGCCCTGTGGAACACCCTCCCACCAGATGTCAAGGAAATAAACAACTATCTGATTTTTAGAAGACACCTGAAGGCAGTCCTGTTTAGGGAAGTTTTTAATGTTTGATGTTTTATCGTGTTTTTTAATATTCTGTTGGAATATTAGAGTGGCTGGGGAAACCCAGCCAGATGGGTGGGGTATAAATAAATAATAATAATAATACAGTGGTACCTCGGGTTACATACACTTCAGGTTACATACGCTTCAGGTTACAGCCTCCGCTAACCCAGAAATATTACCTCAGGTTAAGAACTTTGCTTCAGGGATGTGAGGGCGATCTGGCTGCGACATCTGTCACCCCATTGATCGCCAGGGTTGATTCGGCTGATCTGGCTGGCTAGGTGGGTGTCCCCTTCCTCCCTCACCGCTCCATGTGCGTCCCTCCCGAAGCTGCGCGCTCGGTGGAAGAGGACGACCATCCCAGATAGAAGGAGTGTACCGTTCTTCGGTCAAGGGTATACGATAGCTGCGCTCCCCTGCTAGAACCTCCAAACAAGCTCAAGGTCCATTTGTAGGAGAACGTAGGGTAGTCAAGCTTCCAAGACTCCAGACACATCCAAGTAAGGCGCTGCATGTGGCAGTTTGCCAGTCTTAAAATAAATAAATAAATAAATAAATAAATAAATAAATAAATAAAAAGAACTTTGCTTCAGGAACAGAAATCGGGCTCCTGCGGCGCGGCAGCAGCGGGAGGCCCCATTAGCTGAAGTGGTGCTTCAGGTTAAGAACAGTTTCAGGTTAAGAACGGACCTCCGGAACGATTGAAGTACTTAACCTGAGGTACCACTGTAATTATTATTATTATTCTCTCAACTCATATTGGGTTCTTCTGCTCCAGGTCACCAGAGGAGAAGAAATGTTGCGTGAGGCCCTTGTACATCGACTTCCGCAAGGACTTAAAGTGGCGATGGATCTCCCAACCCAAGGGCTACTATGCCAACTTATGCATGGGTGCCTGCCCCTATCTCTGGAGCATGGACACTCAGTACAGCCAGGTGAGGACGTAAAAAGCTCCTCAGCCCCCCTCTCCCAAAAGGCTTCTGACTCTTGCATCTCACCCCACTTCCTCACACACAACCCTCCTTTGGGGTTTGTTCTGAAGCATTCCAAAAACTGCTTTAAAAAAATCTCAAAAGCAGGATACAAAAGGAAAGCAACAGAACGGTTTCATAGAAACAGATGCAAAGACAGAATTCGGCAATGAACTGTTCTTCTGGGTCAGAGAAAGCCTGGGGAAAAAATATAACTGTCTACAAGGCATCTGGAAGCAACTGGTAGCCAATTCTTTGAGGACGGCAGGTGGGAAGGGCATTCGATAGGCCGGGAGCAACAACAGAAAATGCCACTGTCCTGTGATGTGCTTTGCTGCAATAAAAATGACCATATTTTTTGCTCTATAATACTCACTTTTTCCCTCCTAAAAAGTAAGGGGAAATGTGTGTGCATCTTATGGAGCGAATGCAGGCTGCGCAGCTATCCCAGAAGCCAGAACAGCAAGAGGGATTGCTGCTTTCACTGCGCAGCGATCCCTCTTGCTGTTCTGGCTTCTGAGATTCAGAATATTTTTTTTCTTGCTTTCCTCCTCCAAAAACTAGGTGCGTCTTGTGGTCTGGTGCGTCTTATAGAGCGAAAAATACGGTACTCGTGCAGTGCCATGAGTGAAACTTGGCAGCCATTATAAACGTGACCTCTGCTTTCCTGAAAACGTGGCCTCCCGCTCCCTAGGGTGATCAATCCGCCTTGTTACCTTTCCAGAGACGTATTTTCTTATTTTGTTTCGATAGGTCCTGTCTCTGTACACCCAACACAACCCATCTGCCTCAGCCACGCCCTGCTGCGTCCCATACGAGCTCGAGCCATTGGGGATTGTGTACTACGTCGGCCGCCAAGCCAAGGTGGAGCAGCTTTCCAACATGGTGGTCAAATCCTGTCAATGCAGCTGAGAGAAAAGTACTTGTGGACTTGGGATGTCTCTTCTGGGCGAGTTGGAATTAAAAAATAAATCAATCTGAGCGGGGAAGGAGTCAGGACTGGAGAGGGACACAGACTCCCCTTCCCCTCTAACAAAATCTTTTTCCAAAACAAAAAAACAAAAACAATAAAAACCCTCATTTGGTGAGATTTATTATTATTTTGTGAATTTATGGGGTGTTTTTGTTTTTGCGGGGGCAGGCGTTGAGAATCTTTCAATTCCTTTTAATTATTTTCCTTTGTGTATTAAGAGAGAATTATTTAAAGAGGTTATCTCTTCCTTGCCCTGCTGCCCTACCCGGCTTGCCCTGTACCCAAATCAATAATTTGCGATTTTATGGGAGTTGCGGTGGGGGAGGAAGAAGAAAAAAAAGAGAGCCCCATTTTCCTGCCATAAAGAATGTGTTGAAAAAATGACCTGGCCCTTGAATTTCCAACACTGGCAGGAGGAGAGGCGTGGCAGGGCATCCGAAACGCTCTCTGCAAGAGGGTGGGGATGTCTAGCTCTGGTCGAGGAATGCAAAGTGAGTCAAAAGCAGCGAAGGGCGCAGGGTGCCAGGGTTAAGATTTCAGTCGGTCAGAACTGCTGCCCTCCAGATGGTACGAAAGTGCACAATGCCCGGCTCACCTGAAGGATGCCCAGGAAGATGGCAGAGCGGAACTCCGCCCACTCTCAGAGAGCCCCGCCCACATATCGGTCGACCCCGCCTCCCTCCACCTGACCGCTGGCTGCCGATTGGTAGGCCTCTTCCCTGCTCAGCTGTGACTCTGATCTCTGTGTCCTTCCTCATGTGTTCTGTACAGAGATATTTGCAACAGGTGGGAGCAGGCAAGGAATAGCCAGGCGATGGGGAGTGAATTCTCCCTCTAGCTGCTGGTCTCTGCCTTTTGGCTACTTCGCTCCTCAGCCAACTGCTGGCTTACCAGCTGAAAGGAAGGGGGGATGGCACAGAAATGGGCGACACAGTCTGCTGGCACCTCCAGACAGGTGGTGTTGTTTTTTTGTGGTTCACTGTATTCTGCAACATGTCTTTGGAACAATAATAGTGAATTTAGACTGGGCTGTCCACAAACCCTCCCACTTTTATTAGCTGTTCTGCTAGGTATCTCTAGAGCAACAGAAGCGGGACGAAAAAGGGGTCTTAAAAAGTTACAAGATTTCGGCAGGAAGTTACAGGACATGCACAGATGGAAAACGATGCAGTGTGACTGCCCTGAAACATTTGCAGACACAAAACAGCATCGAAAGCAAGAATCACACATAACTGCTACCCAGATAACCACCTCAGGATTGCACAAGGAACGAGGATGTTCAGGGGGTTCCTGGATTTCTTGGTTTTTTTGGGGGGGTATGTATGCACTCATTCCGTGCCAAGTCAGCCATGGGGGTGGAGGGAGGGAGGGGGCTGTTGCAGGGCCAGAGGGGGGAAATTGGATGTCACTGTCATTTCTGAGTGTTATATTAAATAAGATTTTTCTCACCTGGATCTCCAGACTGCAAAGATTTGTTCTGCGAGGAATGTTTGTTGCTTTCCTACAGCTGTAGCTAAAATCCAGCTGCTCCTTTCTCCTTCCTTCCAGTTTTAAGCAGCTAGACTGTTCCTCCCGGTATCTTAGAGTTAATGTTATGTACTGAGTTGAATAGGATCCAAACTGCAGCAGTCTGATTGGTCATAGAACAATGCAGCAGTATGATTGGTTGGCAGGAACCACCCAATCATGCTCCAGATAGAAGTGAATCCACAACCTGATTGGCTTACAGTAGAATTCCGGAATTAGCCAATCATGTGCAACCCATTGTGTAAATAATGTATATAAAGCAGATACTTTGAGGGGACTTTCATTCATTCCTCCTCACCACTATGAGCTGAATAAAGAGCATGAAATCACTTTGCGACTCTGAGTATATTTCAGTTAAGAAGGGGGTTTTAGGGTCAGGGGGAAGAGAGGGGACCGAGATCAATTGCCCCCCCCCAAAAAAAATTCCAGAATGTGGATTAATAAACTAATAAAGTAGAGCAGCCGCAGCTTCGGAGGAAACTAGGTGCTTCGCATGCACACAAGTATAGCTCAGTTGGTAGAGTGTGAGGCTCTTAATCTCAGGGTCGTGGGTTCGAGCAAAAGATTCCTGCATTGCAGGGGGTTGGACTAGATGACCCTCGTGGTCCCCTCCAACTCTACAATTCTGTGGGTCTATCAGTCTTACAGAACGTTGTCCCAAGAGAGACACAGCCACTGTCTTTGACACCTTTGAACAAAGAGAACTGGACAAATTCTAAGGCTATTTAGCTGCGTGAAACTGTATAATACAGAGGCAGTAAACCCTTTTCTTACCCAGTATTGGGACAAATGAAATGGAGGCTTTGCCTTTCGGGCCCTGCCTGCGAGGTTCCCAGGGGCAGATAGATAATGATAATGATAATATTAATTTATTATTTATACCCCGCCCATCTGGCTGGGTTTCCCCAGCCACTCTGAGTGGCTTCCAACCGAATATTAAAATACAACAGTCTAGTCAACATTAAAAGCTTCCCTAAACAGGGCTGCCTTCAGATGTCTTCTAAAAGTCTGGTAGTTGTTATTCTCTTGACATCTGGTGGGAGGGCGTTCCACAGGGTGGGTGCCACCACCAAGAAGGCCCTCTGCCTGGTTCCCTGTAACTTGGCTTCTTGCAGTGAGGGAACCACCAGAAGGCTGGACCTCAGTGTCTGGGCAGAACGATGGAGGTGGAGATGGCTCTGGATCAAAGCAGAGTTTTGGGGGACAGATCTTTTGCCTGATCCAACAGAGCAGTTCTTAGCATTTGTAGAGGTTCCACCAAAGCTTTTCTCAGGTGGACCCAGAGCCTTCTGCATCTTGGACGGTTGCCTCGCCATCCCACCCACCATTCCCAGCTTACAGCCTCCCAGGCTCCGCGGCTCCAAGCCCAATGGATGGGGTTGCATTCCCCTGATGCCACAGCGTAAATATTTACGAGTGTCACGTTCTTGGCCGGAGACCATGGAGACCGGAGCTGCTCCGTGGTGACCTTGTGGAAGCTTCCTGTTTGCTACTATACACTACAACAACAGCACAAAGCAGGGACCCTAGGCCAGTTGTGGGATGCAGCTGGCTCTGGTGAGAAACGCCGGCACCAGCTGTTTATAACTTGGTCATTCAACTTCTGAAGACCCTGAATGTGTGTCGTGCCTCTACACTGGAGCTCCACAAGCATCGGACAATGTGGGAGTGCCGATCTACCTTAGAACCATAGAATTGTACAGTTGGAAGGGACCGTGAGGGTCATCTAGTCCAACCCCCTGCGATGCAGGAATCTTTTTGCTCAACATGCATCTCGAACCCATGACCCTGGGATTAAGTGTCTCATGCTCTACTGACTGAACTGTCTCCTTAACAAAATGATATATGTGAAGCCCTTTGAACATCCAGCCTGCTTCGCTTGGTTGGTTAGAGCATGGTGCTGATAATGTCAAGGTCGCAGGATCGATCAACTTGCTTATTCCTGCATTGCCAGGGGTTGAGCTAGATGATTATTGGGTTCCCTTCCAACCTATTGTTGTTGTTTAGTCGTTTAGTCCTGTCCGACTCTTCGTGACCCCCTGGACCAGAGCACACCAGGCACTCCTGTCTTCCACTGCCTCCCGCAGTTTGGTCAAACTCATGCTGGTAGCTTCGAGAACACTGTCCAGCCATCTCGTCCTCTGTCGTCCCCTTCTCCTTGTGCCCTCAATCTTTCCCAACATCAGGGTCTTTTCCAAGGAGTCTTCTCTTCTCATGAGGTGGCCAAAGTATTGGAGCCTCAGCTTCAGGATCTGTCCTTCCAGTGAGCACTCAGGGCTGATTTCCTTCAGAATGGGTCAGTTTGATCTTCTGGCAGTCCATGGGACTCTCAAGAGTCTCCTCCAGCACCAGAATTCAAAAGCATCAATTCTTCGGCGATCAGCCTTCTTTATGGTCCAGCTCTCACTTCCATACATCACTACACAATTGGATTAGGTTAGCTTAAATCGCACGCTTTCCATGTCAGCTTATCTACAGAGAAATCTCCACCAGTTGTAGAAGGCATACAAACAGTTCTTACACAGGGCTAACTATTGGTCAGAACTATGTGTGAGCTGAGAATTAAGTCCTGCAAGGCACCCAGCAGCTAGCAGACTTTCAGGGAGGTCTGCCTGCCCGCCATCTCCTCAAGGAAACCCCTGACCAGCTTCTGAGTAACTCCAGAAACCTTTTAACCTGGTTTGCAAACCACTGTGGTAGGTGGATAGCCAGAGAGAAAGATGGAAACCTAAGTGGTCAAGGAGAAAGACCAAGGGGAGGACCGACGGATGGACATTTGCTAAAATAAAAGGGGTGCCGGTGGAGGGGGAGACTTTACAGAAAAGAAATGGATAGGGGCTAGATAGGGGAAGAACACTGCCTGTGCATTTTTCCCTCGTTTCTCAGGTTCTACAAATGCCAGAAACTTTCTTTTTAAAAGAATGAAAGTTGGCAATTATGGGTCATCCACAGCAGAGGAAACTCCCCTCCTTGCTTGTATACACCCAAAAGAGCACATTATAAATTCAAAGCACATCTCCTCCCCCTTGCAAAGAATTCTGAGAATGGCAGTTTACTCCTCGCCGAGCTACGGTTCCCAGCACCCTCAAGACACTACAGTTCCCAGGATTCTTCTTTTGGGGGCATGTGGGGGGCAAATGCACTTTAAATATTGGGTGTGCACACAGCCAGAGTTTGGCTGGGCACCGAGAGCAGCAGAGATGTTCGGAGCCAGATTCCCCGGACTTCTCCTCGGCCTCCGGAGCCAGGGCTGTTTGCCTTCGCGGAGGCAATTTCCAAGCGCTCTGTGGTACCAGCCCCCGCACAGGATGCTCAGCAGACAGAGCAAGGAGAGTTCACTGCCTTCCCTCTGCTGCCAGCAGCAAACGCCTGGATGCAGATCTTGCTCCCTTCCAGGCTTAGTCAGGCAGCTGGGCTCAGCAGGCCTGCAACAGGTCAGCTGGAACGATAGGGTCAGTGGGTCAGAGGGGGTAGCCAGCAAGCCTGTCCCCTTCCATGCTGCCTCCATGCTCTTGAGGACGGGACACCGAGGCAGAAGCCAGAAAAGGCACATTTCCTACTGAAAACACAGTCCCAAAGGCAGTCCTTTCAGAACACTATCCTATTTACCAGGTTTACAGAAGCCGTCCCGGTTCTTGACTTGATCCCAGAATGTCCCGCTTTTCCTTAAAGGTAAAGGGACCCCTGACCATTAGGTCCAGTCGTGACCGACTCTGGGGTTGCGGCGCTCATCTCGCTTTACTGGCCGAGGGAGCTGGCGTACAGCTTCCGGGTTATGTGGCCAGCATAACTAAGCCGCTTCTGGCGAACCAGAGCAGCACACTGAAACGCCGTTTACCTTCCCACCGGAGTGGTACCTATTTATCTACTTGCACTTTGACATGCTTTCAAACTGCTAGGTGGGCAGGAGCTGAGACGGAAGAACAGGAGCTCACCCTGTTGTGGGGATTCGAAGCGCTGACCTTCTGATCAGCAAGCCCTAGGCTCTGTGGTTTAACCCACAGCGCCACCCGTGTCCCTTGCTTTTCCTTAGGACGTCCCTATTTTCATTGGAGAAATGTTGGAAGGGTATGTCAGGACGTTCCTATTTTCATCAGATCCATGATGTAGTCCATGCACCGCAGCTCTCAGTGGGGAAAGGAAGCAACTCAGAGAATCTGCACTAATCTGTCCAAAGAGCGGAGAGACAATTGGTTAAATCCCAGGCTTTCGGTCTCACCGGAATCCGTGCCTCCTTAATAGGTGGGAATCGGACAGGGCTCATGATGGCAGGAATGAGGGATGCACTCTGCACACGCTCAGAGGCAATCTCCTTCTGCACCTGGGAAGTACATACAAAGAGCCCCTCTGCATCGGACCAAAGGCTCACCTGGTCCAGCATCCTGTGGACAAACAGGTGAAAGCAGGACCTGAGCACAGCAGCCCTTCTTTAGCGAGTCCCATCCACGGGTATCTGGATCATCATGCTAGTAGCCTCGTCCTCCATTCATTTCTCCAAACACCTTTCGAAGTTGGCGGCCACTGCATCTCGTGGGAAGAAACAATGCACTGTAGGAAGAAATGCTTTTGGGGGTCTGTCCTGAATCTCCCGGCACTTGGTAATCCACACTCTTGCTTGTTCCCTGCTTTCTAGGTGCAGGTCAAAGAGGTTTTTGCTTTGTCCCACCACTTTCCCCAGGAAAAGTTGCTGCTGGCTCCTGAATCGGAACCACCAGCAATCGGTTTTTCTGTGAGTTGACATTTGTCCACATAACACCGGTCCTGAAAGACCTACATTGGCTCCCAGTATGTTTCCGAGCACAATTCAAAGTGTTGGTGCTGACCTTGAAAGCCCTAAACAGCCTCAAAGGCCCAGTATACCTGAAGGAGCATCTCCACCCCCATCGTTCAGCCCGGACACTGAGGTCCAGCGCTGAGGGCCTTCTGGTGGTTCCCTCCCTGCGAGAAGTGAGGTTACAGGGAACCAGGCAGAGGGCCTTCTCAGTGGTGGCACCCACCCTGTGGAACACCCTCCCATCAGATGTCAAGGAAATAAACAACTATCTGACTCTTAGAAGACATCTGAAGGCAGCCTTGTTTAGGGAAGCTTTTAATATTTGATGAATTATTGTATTTTAATATTTTGCTGGAAGCCACCCAGAGTGACTGGGGAAACCCAGCCAGATGGACAGGGTAGAAAAAATAAATTATTATTATTATTATTATTATTATTATTATTATTATTATTCCGATTTGGCAATGAAATGAAAGGAAAACCTCTCAGATCTGTGCCTAGAAATCAAGGGACAAGTGGCAGTGTGGCTGAGCCCTCAGTGTCACTGCGTGGACCCAAGCTTTAGAATTGGAGAGCACAGTATTTGGATAGCTCCGTCGGCAGAGCAGAAGACTCTTCATCTCGGGGTCGTGGATTCGAGTCCTACACTGGGCAAATGACTCCTGCATTGCACGGGGTTGGGCTAGATGACCCTCGTGGTCCCTTCCAACTCCACAAGTGATTCTGTGAAATGTTGCAGCCTTGACTCACAGGGGAGCTGCTCCATCCCCTGGAACTTTTTGGCAGCCCTTTCCGGAGCCTTCT